GACAACATTTTCACACAGAGGGAGGTGCTTGTATGGAATGAGCTGCCAGAAGAAGTGGTGGAGGCTGATAAACTACAAAATTTAAAAGGCATCTGGATGGGTATATGAATAGGAAGGGCTTAGAGTGATATGGGCCAAATCCTGGCAAATGGGACTAGATTTATCTAGGATATCTGGTCTGCATGGACAAGTTGGACCAAAGGATCTGTTTCTGTGCTGTACCTCTCTATGACTATGACTCTATTCAGGGAATCTGAAATATGGGGACACAGTCTCCAATTAAGAAGATCGTAATTTAGGACTGAGCTAAGGAGAATTTCTTCCCTCAAAGAGAAATGATTCTTTGGAATTCTCTACTTCAGAAGGCTGTGGATGCTGCATTGTTGAATACATTTAAGGCTGGTTGGACAAATTGCCTCAGAGAATTAAGAGATATGGGGAAGAGGTAAGAAGTTGAGTTGAAATCCAAGATCAACAATTATCGTATTTATTGATGGAGCAAGCTCAATGGAACATATGATGCACTCCTGCACTTGTTTTTGTGCTTTTTCTGGTCGCCCTGCTAAAGCATGAAGCAAGACCAATTTTCAGTTGCAAGTCAAGAGCAGACATTCCGCCATCAAAGCCAGAATCAACCTTACAGTATATTAAATCTCACACATCCCATCCATTCTCATACTACTTGTCAGCTGTAGGTATTGATACTTAGTCCAGTACATTGTACAAAGCAAAGGCCATTCAGCCCCTCAAGCCTACATCAGCATGCAATCAGGAGACAGCTGATCTCTACCATGGCTCCATTTGTCCATCATTGCTCTGCATCCCTTACAAAACAAAATTAAATCTAGAATGCCATCTTGCTGTGCAACCAACAAATACAACAAAATAAGAATAATAATATTTGAATGAAACACTTATTTATGATTAATCACGGCCATTGATTTTAATTTACCACAGAACAATGAACAGAAATAATATTTAATGCTATACACACTGATGTTAAAGTTTTCAGAAACCATTTCATTAAAATTAATTTAAGGCTTGTGGAAGGAGTGAGATTTAACTGTCACTGAAATAGCAATGGAGAATCAGTAGTGCTTTTTATCACCTGATCAAAATCAATGTATTTGTAATCCACTATGAAATTGAGCTATCTATTCACTAGCACCAGTTTACCCATACTAATCAATGCAATGCCAAAGTTTTGTGGTCCCAGAATGCTACCTGCAGAGGGTGCTTTGGGAAATCCTCAGTGCATCATATGAAGTTTCACCTGATGTTATACCTCACAGTACACCTCCTCCCCCCACAATAGGAGTGCCCCTACTGAGGTGTCTGTTAGAAACAAAAATGTGTATTTCAACAGCATCTTTCACAACCTCAGGATGTCCTGAAGCACTTTACAGACAGTGAAGCACTTTACAAATGCAGTCAGCTGTGTAATATACGAAATACAGCATCCAATTTATGCTCAGCAAGCTCCCATCAATGGCTGTCTGATAATGACGAGGCAATCTCTTTTCTGTGAACTTGATTGGGGGATACTTGTTTACCAGGACACCAGAGAAAGCTTCTTTGCTCTCTGTCAAATAGTTCCATGAGATCTTTTGTGTCCACCTCCACAAATAGATGGGGTCTTGGTTTTGTGTCTCAGTTGAGAAACAGGACCTCTGGAGAGAAGTTTGAACCCACAATATTCTTCCTGAAGGGCAAGGGTGTATTATGTGGGGAAGGGCCAACGAGACTGTAGTACTCAGTTAGATAGACAGTCAAAAATAAAGAGGAATGAAGAGCTGTCAGAACAATGTGAATACCAATGATTGTGGCTGTTGCTCATCACAGTACTAAGGAATTGCTGCACTGTTGGACTAGCAGTTTTTTTTGGATGAGACACTAAAATGGGTCCTGTCTGCCATCGGAGGTCAATTTAAAAGATCCTAGGCACTACTGGAAGGAGACATTTTTTCCCCTGCGTCCTGGCCAATATTAATCAACATAAAAACACAATTAAATTGTTATTATCATATGGTGGTTTATGGAAACTCTCTGTGTGTAAAGTAACTGCAGTGTTTATTGCAGCACAACATTGATTATACTTCATGATCACTTCATTGATGCCCTGACCTTGTGAAAGATGTTGAATAAATGTTAGGTTTAGTTTTCTTCTTGCATTTAATGTTGGTATGTAAACTTACTATAAATGTCTCTGTCTTTTTAATCAGATGCCTAATACTTAGAAAACAGGGACACTGACACTGACCCTATCAGACTGGCATATATAGATACAAGCGATAGAGAACAATGGATGGATGTGGAAATAAATTGAACATAAACCTCTCTGTTTCCATTCCTGGCCATCTCCCTCCACTTTCTTGACCTCGCCGCTACCATTTCTGGCGACAGTTTACGGACCAACATTTACTATAAACCCACAGATTCCCATAGTTACCTGAAATACACCTCCTCCCACTCTGTATCCTGCAAAAGCTCCATCCCATTTTGCCAATTCCTCCGTCTTTGTCGCATCTGCTGTGTTGAGGAGATGTTCCACTCCCAAGCATCCAAGATGTCCTCCTATTTCAAACAACATTCTTTTCCTCCCTCAATTATCCACACAGTCCTCCACCACGCCTCCTCCATTCCCCACTCCTCAGGTCTAAACACCCACAAAATGTAAAGATACGGTCCCTCTTATCCTCACTTTCCACCCCAACAGCCTCTGTATCCAATGTATCATCCTCAAACACTTCCGCCAACTCCAATTAGACCCCACCACCCAGAACATCTTCCAAGCCTCGCCCCTGCATGCCTTCCGTAAGGACTATTCCCTTCGCCATTCCTTACTTTGTGCTAAGCTCCCCACCAACCACTCCAATGCCCCTGCTACTTGCCCCTGTAACTATAAAAGATGCAGCACCTGCCCACACACCACCTCCCTCATCTCCATCCAGGGCTCTAAACAGTCCTTCCAGGTGAGACAGAGTTTCATCTGCATCTCCTCCAACCTAGTCTATTGCGTCAGGTGCTCCCGATGTGGTCTTTTCTACATTGGTGAGACCAACCATAGACTGGGTGACCATTTCACCGAGCATCTTCGCCTGGCCCATAATGGCCAGCCTAACCTCCCAGTTATCGCCCATTTCAACTCCCCCTTCCCCTATTCCCCCTCCGACATGTCAATCTTCAGCCTCCTCCAGTGCCACAGCGATTCAGAACGTAAATTTGAGGAACAACACCTTATCTTCCGCCTGGGCACCCAACAGCCCAGAGAACTTAACATTGAGTTCTCTCATTTCAAATAACCTTCCCACCCATCCCCCTGCTCACTTTCCAGCCCCACCTCCTCCCTTCCATCCCAGCCTCCAACCAGATCTTACCTACTATCTGTGTCCACCTATCACCACCATCCCACTACCCTCCCCCTACCCTCACATTCAGTCCTGAAGAATTGACTTCTCCTTCCTCCAGATGCTGCTTGGCTTGCTGTGTTTTTCCAGCCTCCTGTTTGCCTACTTTGGATTCCAGCATCTGCAGTTTTCTTTTAGTCTCGAACATAAACCATAATGAGTTGCTGTGTTTACAGTGCTTACAAAGGTTTCTGCAATGACACATCTGGAGCCGAGAAGCGAAGCAGTTTGAAACAAACTGCAGTTATAGATTCTGAGGCATCATGGAAGAGTTGCTACTCCTTTATTTGGTCTGTAAACACAAAGAAATTTCTAAAATAAATAATTGATTACACGGTCTTGTTTTATTCACTGTCCTTAATCGTTTTGCGAATGGTTTTTGTTTTGTCCAAGCGAATTCCTTGCCCTCACAGTGGCAAGGCTTGAGGTTTGCACAAGTGCCTTGTGTCTGGGGGACCAGAATTGGCCACTGACAGCAGGTATGGCAGAGGGATCAAACTGAGTTAAAATGCACAAGGAGACATTTGTTGAAAAAAAAATCATAAGCACGACAAAGGATCCGTTCTCGCTCTCTGTCTCTGGTTTCTCTAACATGTCAAGATCAGATCTCTAAGCAGCACCTGGGATTCCAGCATCAAATGGAAGGGAGGTGTTCCCATAGAATGCAAATTGAACGCGTCCCCTTCACCCACCCAGAGTCCTGTAGCCGCTTGAGACTGAAGTCTGGTTCAAGAATTTAAAATAGAGACGTGCTCCCCTATTCCCTCAAAGTGGGACTGGGTTACCAACGAGATCTGTACTAAACAAGGCATAGTCTTTCCTTCCCTGTCGGTTTATTGGAATATGTTAAATCGCTCACATAGGTATACAATGTTGGAATGATCGAATTATACAACACAAGGAGGCCATTCGACCTGATGTGTCTATGCCGGCTCTTTCTAGGAGTTCTCCAGATAACCAATAGCCCCTGCTCGCCCTTTCACAGTAGCTCCATAAATCTCTCCCCACCGCGCCCACCCTCTTTCAAGGTTTCACCTACTTCCTTTTTGAAAGTTGAATCTTCTTCCACCGCCCTTTCGGGCAGTGAATCCCAGATCATTTTAAAAAAAACCACAACGTGCTGTTTTAAAAGTCATTTGTTGCCTTTCATTGGCAACTCTGCGATGAAATATGTATTGTTTGGTGCGAAATTTGCAAAAGCAATTAAATGAATCGCTTCTTACAATTTCAAGGAACGTTTAAATGTGGTTCCTGAACAACTACCACCCGCTCTCTCGTCTGCACTCGGACCCTGTTCATCCTTGTGTTCTAAACGGAGCCAAAGACTTTTTCGCTCGTCTCCCAGTCCTCCAGCTTGTTCAAAAGTTTGTGTGTGTGTGTGTGTGTGTGTGTTTTCAGGGACATGCAGTTCGGATCTTTTAAGCTGTGCCTTAGAAACGAGGCGCTCAGCGTTGTCAGTGCGTTTTTTTTTTGGGACCGTCATTTCTTTCAATTACCTTCAAACCTACCCCACCTTGCCACAGGGGAAAAAAAAACCCTCCTCCCCAATGTGACTATCCAGTTCACTGACACTGCGGGAGGATAAAACAGCGCACCGCGCAGTTGTACATAGTCCTGTAGGTGCTGTTTGCACCACTATTAAGCAAGGGAGTGTGTGTGTGTGTGTCTGTGTGCTGTGCTTGGGGTGGTGCTACACAGTTAACACGTGAAATCCGACTTTAAAAGCAGCAGCTGTGAAACTGACGGGTCTGGTCAATTTCACGCGAACTAGAACATTCCAAAAGCAGCGATTTCTGCTCCTGTCTGTTTCAGCTGTAGATCACAAGCACGCCACCAGCGTGAGAGAGAGACAGTCAAGAGAGTATAAGAGAAGACACACACACACACACACACACATGAACACGATGGACTTCTCTCTGCGCTCCTTCGCTCTTCTCCTCGCCCTTTCTGCGGTGATCGCTTCCTTTAACGACCAGAGCCCGGTCACCGACGGATACTGCAATCGTATCGTGAGGTCTCAGGGCAGCCGGAGGGACGGGAACACCGGATTCAGCCTCCAGATCGAAGGGAATCCCGAGTTCTACACCCCAGGCAGCACATACCGGGGTAAGCGATCCAGGCGCCTCCAGCACCAGTTCCCTCTCTCATATCTCAAAGCTGTGAGCTGCTTTCTCCTTCAAACCCAAATTTCACACTGTTAAGATACTTTCTTTAAAAAAAATGTCTTCACTCCTAACTGTCTTCTGCTAACTTTACAGGTATTGTATTGGCTGTGTGTTTTTTTTTGTCAGCTTCTTGTTTTATTTTTTTCTGTCTTTCTCTCTCTTGTTTTTCCAGTCACCCTCTCGGCCACAGTTCCGTCCTATTTCCGTGGATTCACGCTGATAGCCCTCAGGGACGGGGAGGACGGCGACAGGGAAGAGGAATATGCTGGTAACTTTCAGGTAGGATAAGCCACATCTCCCGGCGTCCCTCCACTCCGTCCTTTTAGCCCAGCTCACAGCGCACATCCCTCCGTGCAAAGGTAAACTCGGAAATGGCTAAATTGTTCAGTCCCACCTTTTTCAGATCGAGATGAACATTTGTTTGCGAGGCAGGGTCGATACCGAGAGAGAGAGAGAGAGTGTGTGTGTGTGTTTGTGACTTTGAACAAAATCATTATTCCCAATTACGAGACAGAGAGACGTCAGTCTTCTGCTGACATTGAAGTATGTGTGGGGTTCACTCTCAATGCCTCGCGAATTAATATATTTTTTAAAAAATATATTTATGATGTCTGTAAATGGGTATATGCCAATGTGTGTGTGTGAGAGAGTATGTGTACACAATTAACCTGCAGATTTGCTGACCTGAATGACGTTTCAGGAAAATGTCTGGTTTGCAGAGCCACTATTGAGAAATATTAAATAATTTCAGATTTGGATTACTTCTGTCCAAATATGAAAAGGAAGAGCAACGCTTTCATTTTTTAAAATTATTCAGTTGTCATTTCCCCTACATATGCATAACACTAAACCTTTAAGTGTGTGTTTGTATATCCTATATATCTGTGTGTATGGACACATGTGTCTTAAGTGTTGAGTGTCAGTATACATGTGAGTGTGTGTCAATGTAAAGAGACCTGAATGCAAATATCCTGTTATCAAAATAATATCGAAGTGATTTTGAATGGGAGCCAACATATAATCCGCATGCACAATTAAACTGCACAATCTAGAATCAGACAAGTGTCTGCTTTACAAAGACATTATAGGAAGGGATTAGTTAACTTCAGAATGGGATAGCTTTGACCAACTATAACAAAGAGAAATACTATTATTGTTTTTTTTTCAATTGTCATTTCTCAAACATTTAACCACTATCAACACTACGTTTGTGCTGTGCTGTCTTATAACCTGCATAGTAAATAATTTGAATAAAAACAAAATCATTCATTCGGATTAGAAATTATTAAGATTACATTCCTCTTTTATGTGTTATTTATTTTGTTTGGTTCTAATGATTTGATAGTTCAAAAATGATTTAGAACAAAAACTTATTTTTATAATTAGAAATTCAAATGGATTTGGATCTTGCCAGATTTCTGTTTGTCTTGCTCTTTCTTTTACTTTCACAGTGATGATTTGTTCTAATTTATTTCAAATTGGGATAAATGATTAAGACATTCATACAGCTCTGAAAGGTTGGCAAATTGCAAAGGACCTTTGGCACTCAGTTGTGGAATTCCATTCTGAAACCTCTTATCCGCTCCACATCATTTTTTATTCTGAATTGTCCTTTACAACCTACCTCTCTAATGAATCCTTTGCTCATCTGAACTAATGTCTTATGTGGCTCCATACAAAATTTTACCCTATAATGTTCCTGTAAGGTAATCTGGGATATTTTATTAGGTTAAAGGTGCTGTATAAATATATGTTGTTTTTAATAGAATAGTGGTTACTGAAACAGTAGGACTGCAATCAAATTTACATGATATAACACTCTGTTTAGATCTCCATCTAGAGCACTATTTTCACTTCCAAGAACTACCGCTTACATAGGAAGGATATATTGGTCTTTGTGGGAATGCAATGCAGATTTACTGAGACTTGATGGGTTAAATTATGAGGCCAGGTTATGGACTAGACTGGTATTGTCTTGCATATAGAAGATGAAGGGATGAAATTATTGAGATATTTAAGGTAGACAAAAGTGAATTTAGAGTCTAGAATAAGAAAGGGTGACCTTAAAGTTAGAGCTAGACTATTTAGGACCCACATCATTATGCAATATGTTAAGTACGTCTGGAATTTTCTCCTCCAAAAAGTTTTTTTCAAGTCAAATTTCTAGACAGATTGATGAGGTTAAGATACAGATCAGAAATTATCTAATTGAATGGTGGAACAGGCTCAAGGAGTTGAAAGACTATTCCTATTCCTGTTTTCCCGAACAGTAAAAGATACGTTTAATTCTGGGTAGGAATGTGTTGAGGTGGATGGAAGATACAGTTTATAACTTGCATTGTGTAAACACTGTAATCACTGGATTGGAGTGTATTACCTATAAAGAGAGGTTAGACAAACTTGGATTGTTTTCGCTAGAGCATCAGAGACTGAGTGGTGACATGTAGAAGTATATAAAATTGTGAGTGGCATCGATAGGGTGAATGGTCAGAGCTTTTTTCCAGGGCAGCAATGCTAAAGGGAGCATAAGCTTAAGGTGAGAGGGTAAAAGTTGAAATGATGTGAGGAAAGTTTTCTTTATACCTGAAGCATATAGAGGTGGTAGAAGAAGATATATTAGCAAAGTTTAAGAGGCATTTAGACAGACATGTAGACAGATGCAGGAATAGAGGGGTATGGACCACGTACAGGCGGATGCTATTAGTATAAACAGACATCATGGTCGGCAAAGAGATGGTGGACTGAAGGGCCTGTTCCTGTGCTGTACTGTTCTCTGTTATATATGTTTGTGTTGAATGCATTTAATCTTGAAGTTATGCTATAGGAAGTAGATTGTATGGATGTTGAAAACTTGACAACATTCTCTCCATCTTCACAGCATCAGCACAAGCACTACTTGATTAATTTTAAATGCATTAACATCTCTGCAAAAACTACAGCTGATCTTGTTCACCATATTAGCATAACAATGCTTGGTACAAATTTTTAGTCATTCATGGGATGTGGCCATCACTGGCAAATCAATTTTTTTTTTTTTTTGTTTTGCTGATGCATTTGAAGTGCTGTAGAGCTACGCTCTTGAACTACTGTAGTCCTTGTGGTGTAAGGCACACTCCCATTTCTGTGAGGGTCGAAGTTCTAGGATTCAAGTTCAGCAACAATGAAGGAATGGCTGGTGTATTTTGGTTTTTGTTTGGAAGTGGTGTTTTGCCCATTCACTTGCTGGCCTTGTTCTTCCAGAGATTTACACAGTGCACTTAATATTTTGAAATTCCCCAACGTGTTTCACAGTCATCAGTTCAAAATGTGACACTGAGCCCAAGATTCCTGGGTGATGGTGGAGAAAATTAAGTTTTAAAAGAATATTTTTAATCTCCTATTTGGACATCTTGTACATTTCAAACACAGGTAAGACTTGAAGGACCAGAGATAGTGACACTACTTTTGCGCCAAACAAGACTACCTAGCATGAAATCTAAATGATGGCAGAACTCAACAAATCAATTTAACTTGATTTTACCGTCTACCCTAAGCCTACCCTTAAAGATATAATTTATGCAACTGTGAAAATATCTTGTTGGCTTTATTCCATTTTAATTGCACCACAACAACTATAATTAGGGGATAGATTTCAGTGTCTAATCTATCAATCACTTAAAATTGCTAGGAAATATGAATGATTACACTACTTCTAAATGTATTCATTGATTAGTTTATCCTGAATGGATACCACATGCCACTTGAGAATATGTATAATCTATTTTATATTGGTTCCTGCACAGTTGTTACGTAAGCGTTTTTGAAATAAGTTAATGCCTAACAAATGCTAATAACTAGGGACAGCTGTAGCTCAGAGGGAAGTACTTTTGAAAGTCATGAGATCAAATCTTCCTCCAGAGACTCGAACACATAGTCCAGTTATACATGCCTGGTGCCAGTAACAAGGGAGCGTGACACTCCAAAGTGCTGCCTTTCAGGTGAAATGTTAAGCTGTGGCTCTGTCTACCCTTTTAGGTGAACTCAACAATCTCATAGCACTGTTTGAAGATTATATTGTACTGGGCCAATATTTTGTTGTTCAACCAACAATATGACTTTTTCTTTTGGAATTTGCTGGGTGCAAATTAACTGCTGTGTTTCCTATGTCATCACAGGACAACACCTCACAAGAGTTTAATTTAGTTACTAAAAGCAATGGGATACACTGAGAACTTGAAAGGGTGATTCACAAGTCTTTTTTTTTTAGAAATAATTAATTTTATTAATAGATGTCCTTCTTCCACTTGCTCCATCTGCAGATAATTGATCATGAGGACACTCAGTTTATGACGAACTGCCCGTATGCTGTCACGGAGACCACTCCCAGGAGACGGACACGCATCCAAGTCTTTTGGACAGCACCTGCGGCTGATACAGGCTGTGTCATATTGAAGTAAGTTCCAGTGAAGGCCTGGGGAGATTTAACAGGGTGAGAACCTATGCTTCAAGTGCCAGAAGGCAACTGACATTGATTTTTGGAATAATGAGGCAAAGAAAACCCAGCAAGGTCCAACGACTTTGATTTGTGCCGCTATGGCAGTTGCAAACCAAGCAGTTAAGTTCTGTTTCCGTACCCAGGCATCATGCGTTACTAAGCTGCTGAATAATCATTCCAATAATTTTCAGAGGTCAGCTTCCAACACACCTACATATGTTTCAAGGAAAAGAATTTGCATTTACCTAGCACATTTTACAATTGCAAATGTCTCGAACAATGAAGCACATTTGGAGTACAGTCACTGTTGTAATGTAGCAGATACAACAGCCAATTTACACAGCAAGCTCCCACAAGCAGAAAAGTGATAATGAGCATATAATCTCTTATGATCAGCTGGGCCAGTCGGCCGAGGAATGGCCAATGGAGTTTAATTTCGATAAATGCGAGATGTTGCACTTTGGTAAGATAAACTAGGGCAGGATTTATACAGTTAATAGTAAGGCCATGGGGGTATTGCCAAACAGAGAGCCCTAGGGGTGAAGGTACATAGTTCCTTGAAAGTGACATTACAGGTAGACAGGGTCGCAAAGAAAGCATTTGGCATGCTTGCCTTCATCAGCCTAAGCATCGAGTGTGGGAGCTGTGACATCCTGTTACAGCTGTACAAGATGTTAATAAGGCCACATTTGGATTACTACATACAATTCTCATCACCCTGCTCTCAGAAGAATGTTACTGAACTGGAAAGTGCACAAAAAATATTTACAAGGATGTTACCAAAACTGGAAGGTTTGAGTTATAAGGAAAGGCTAGATAGAACTCTTTTTTTTTTCTTAGTGTATGAGGCTGGGGGTGGCTTTTAGGGGTTTATAACATCATGAGGGGCATAAGTAAGGTAATAGCCAAGATCTCTTTTTTTTTTCAGAGTAAGGGAGTCCAAAACTAGAGGGCATAGGTTTAAGGTGAGTGGGGAAAGATTTAAAAGGGACCTGAAGAGCAACTTTTTCATGCAGAGGGTGGTGCGTGTATGGAACAAGCTGCCAGAGGAAATGGTGGAGGTGGGTACAATTACAACATCTAAAAGTCATCTGGATTGTTATATGAAAAGGAATGGTTTAGAGGGATATGGGTCAAATGCAGACAAATGGGATGAGTTTAGTTTGTGAAACCTCGTTGGCATGGACGGGTTGGGCTGAAGGGCCTGTTTCCATGCTTGGGATTCTATAATTCCAAGACTCTAGGCAAAAACCAGACTGAGACACCAAGGACAACACATGTGCTTTTCTCTGAAATAGTGGCCTCGGATAATTTATGTCTCCTGAGGGAGCTCTGAGTTTAGTATCTCATCCAAAGGATTATACCTGTGATAGTGTGGTACTCCATCAGAACTGGCAGTCTCAAAATCAGCATGGATTTTGTGCTTACGCCCCTTGAATCCACTAAGCCATTTGCTCATAATGATTTTTGTTCATTGAATAGATGCTTTCCTTTTTATTACCCATTTCATTTCCTCACAGAGCAAGCTGTGCATTTTTATTCCCTTACCCAGTGTGGCTTTGGGCATTATACATAGATAAGTGCACCGTTGTACTTTTTTGACTAGGTTAGTCAGAACAAGATAAGCAAGATCTATTTACTGCAGTGCACAGAGTACAAAATTATAAAGAACTTAAATATTCTGTTGGAGTGTGTGGTTTCTTTGGAATGCATTCATTGAGATTCCAGACCATTGGATTACTTTTTTAATGGCTGATCCCTAGGAATCTTAAATTATGTGCATTCTTACAGTGCAAATTCCAGAGTTTGGATGGTTAACTCAGGATATAGTTTACATTATTTTGGAAAGAGTACAAAAAAGGAGTAAATAATGTTAAATTTGTTTGAGGCTCTCTTGTGTTTCAGTGTTTTGTTTTCTAAAGGAACAATTTTCTTCATCTATGGCTATTACCTTTGTCTTGGTCACTTATCACACTTTCTTTCATAGTAGACACTAATGGTTAAAGCCTGAACTAAGCTCCAAACTCTCTGTCCCCTTCATCATTAAGGACACCTCCTTCTTTCCCCACAGTATTGCATGTTTCTCCTCCTGCTTCAGCTCTTCTGCCAAAATCCTCCTCCATGCTTTTGGTGTCATCACACTTGACTGTTCCCCATGGTGGTCTCCCACCTTACACCTCTATAAACTTGAATGCATCTAAAACCCTTGCTCCTGTATCCTAATTTATGCTAAACCACATTGACTCATCATATCTGTTACTATATTGACTTCTGGCCCAAAAAATCCTTGAATTTTAAAACATACAGCTTCAATTTTAAATCTGTTCACATCCAAACCCCTCCCCATCTTTGTAATACCCAGCAGCCCACTGTTTTCTGAGATCTCTGTGGTCCTCCACTTTTGACCTCTTAGTAATCCTGATTTTTTTAAAATATATATTCCACCATAAGTTTGCACCTTGTAGGGATTTAAACCCTCACAACTGAATCAAATCTGACAATAGAATTTTATTACAGAGCAGCATTATTAAGAGCAAGACAAGCCCACATACAAAAGATAAAATTCACACTGATTTGCTGAACAATGTGAGTTATCTACTTCCTGTCTTGTATCTGGATGACAGAACACACTTTTATTTCCTCACTTTTATTTTCTTTGTTTCTGGTTCTCTTGCATAGATCTCTTGCTTTTATTTGCTTCTTTGTTCCTCCACTGCACCAAACTCCTCAGAGGACTGTTTTTTAAGATTTATTTCTTATGGTCTTATGGTGTCATGCAGAGGACTGCTTCTGTGCTTATGTGATTACAATTTCTACAGTGGGGATTTTTGAGGTGCAATGATAAACCAGATGGCTTGGGTTCAAGTTGCACCTGCTCCAGAGGTGTGTTTAAACAGTTGGTTAAAAATGTTTGTGGCTTCTGCAGTTCCATTATCTTTCCAAGCTGCTTTCAAATCATTATTTTTCAAATTCATTAACAGGATGTGGATATCACTGCTAGGCCAGTATTTGTTGACCATTCCTAATTGCTTGGAGGGCAGTTAGAGTCAACCACATTGTTGTGAGTCTGGAGTCACATGTAGGCCATGCTAGGTAAAGGTGGAAGTTTGAAACAAAAACAGAAATTGCTGGAAAAGCTCAGCAGGTCTGGCAGCATCAGTGGAGAGAAATCAGTTAACATTTCAGGTCCAGTGATCCTTCCTCAGACTGATGGTCGTTAGGACAATGTTGCTTTTTTTTTTATATATGCAGAAGATAGGGTGGGGAGAGGGGTAAGGAGTAAACAATAGATGGAGGATAGAGCCCAAAAAGAGAAGAGCAGTTTGACAGACAAGAGTGGATAAAAGTCAGGCCAGCAGGGTGAATAGCTATCAATAGGGACTGTTGGTGGCTGACAATGGGTTGTGTGTAATAGCCGACCATGTGATAACAAGTCCTGGTGTGTGGGGGTTTGGGGTAAAGACATGGGAGAAGCTCAAACCCTAAAGTTGTTGAACTCAATATTGAGTCCAGAAGATTGTAGAGTTCCCAAGGGGAAAATGAGGTGCTGTTCTTTCAGCTTGTGCTGAGCTTTGCTGGAATGAAGTTGGAAGCTTCCTTCCCCAAAGGGCATCCGTGAACCAGATGGGTTGAGACATTTATTGAAATCAAATTCTACTTCCTGTCACGGTAGGATTTGAACCTGCATCGCCAGAGCATTACCTGGATCTCCGGAAAAATACGTGTAGGAACAATACGACAAGGCCATCACCCCTGCTTTTTGTACAGACTAATCCCTATGGAATAAATTAATGCACACCAAAGAAAATGCTCAATTCCCATGAACTGTCAAGGCCCAATGTCTGGAGCTACCTCCCTGAGTCTCTTCATGTCTCTACCTCACTCCTTTGAGATGTTGTTTAAAGATGACCATCCCACTCCATTCCCAATGTAATTCACCCTAACGAAGCTCATGAATAATTTTGTGGCAACGCTTGCATGAAGTACCTGCAACATTTCAGTATTAAATGTGCCACGTAGATGCAGGCAAATAGTTGTGGTAGTTGGTGGCATGCCTTACATTAAGTTGTGTTCTGTTTTGCCTGACTATCACTATATACACTGCTAGGTTGGCTGCATACATTGCCCGGTCCTACGAGCATGCGTACTGATTTGCTAATTTTCCTTGCTATCTGCTAATTGTCAATCACATTCCATTTTACACTTGCACACTGATTTCTAGCTGTGAGATGCAGTTGTTTTACTTGTTGGAATTTTGCCATGTCCAATCACTTGCAAATTGCAATCACTTCCTTTTAACTAATATGTGATATTGTCTTCCTCTGCATCTCAAATGAATTTGGCTTTTGATTCTGTGTATACGCCAGATCCAGATATCACAGGAAGTGCTGGCCAACATTTATCTTTCTATTAGCACCACTGAAATTGATTTTGTACTGCCTTTCATGTAATGAAGTGTCCCAAGGTGCTTTACGGGAGCATTAGAAAACAAAATATTACAGTGAACCACATGAATATTAGGTCAGCTGACCAAAAGTGTGAAATGCTTTAAGAAATGCCCTAAAGGCATGAGGTATAGCTGTGAATAGGTATATGGAGGGAGTTCCAAAGCTTGATCCTAGACTATTGAAGGCAGATTTTCAATGGAGGAGCAAATACAATTGGATAGGAGACGAGTGCAGACTGCAGAGATAAGAAGGGCAAGATCATGGAGGGATATAAAAAGAAGGATGAGCATTTTAAGATCAAAATGTTGCTTGACCAGGAACCAACAAGCCAATGAACACAGGGATGATAGGGAAATGGAACTTGCTGCAAGTTAATACACTTGCAGCAGAGATTTGAATGACCTCAAGTTTATGGAGGATAGGATGTGGGAGACTTGTTAGGAGTGCATTGGAGTAGTTGAGTTCATAGGTAACAAAGGCATGATTGAGTGTTTCAGCAGCAGATGAGATGAGACAAGAGTGAAGTTAAGTGATGGTACAGTGGTGGAATTATATGATCTTAGTGATGACATGAGATTGGAAGCTCATCTCCGGATCAAATGTGACACCAAGGTTGCGAACAGACCGAATTAATCTCTGTGTGATATGTGTTCAATGATCTCACCAATGCTTGTTGGCATTTGACTGTTTACAAATTTTCATCCATTTTAGCTACATTACAACCAGCAACTGCAATCCTGAAGTGTGAGAATTGCTTTTCGTACAACCCAGAGCAGAAATGTTGTTGTGTAAATCCAAGTATATTCTTTCCTTAACTTCTAAAGTTTCAATTTCACATGCAATGCTATATTATTCCTGCCAATAGATTTTAATTATGAAATCAAAGTACTGTGTCTCTTTTCCTCTTTCCCACATTCCACTGCTACCATTACAGCTCTCAAAGTACTGAAATTCATCACTATTTTACCTTACAGAGCCAGTATTGTGCAAAAACGGATAATCTGGTTCCAGGATGATGGAGCACTTACGAAGAGACTATGTGAGAAAGGTAATTGCGATATCCCATGTGGTTATCTGACCCCCTGATAAGGCATGTTCATAGTGATTTGTAACTGTCTGCGGATGTGTTTGCCTGAGTTAGTTTGGGTACTGTTGTAACTTGGTTTTATTTTAATGTGGCATTCTTTAGTATAAGTACATTTCATTTTAAGTAAATATTATAATTCTAACATCAGTATGAGTGATTTTAACTTTGAACAATAGTGCAATACAAATGACAACAGGCTGACAACACATTTTGGACCTCTGTCAATTTTTATTTTCGATTGAGTTGAAAACTTGCATTAGGGGAGTGATGTGTGCAGATAGTCAACTTACTATTCCTTGTTTTGTGCTATTGCACAAAGTTATGGTCTGGCCCAGCATTCATTTTTAACTTGGAGCCAAATATGCAGTTGAATCTCAAGTGTGTTTCAAAGAAATTTATCAAAACATTAGTTTAATGGATCATCAACCAAGATCCTGTATATGATTTTCTTTCCTCTCTAAAATCTGAGGTACAACCATGTCCAGTTTGATTTAAGGATCCTAAAGTGGCATGAATTTGGGAAATGCTAATGCAGTTATTTCTAGTGCCATTGTATTGCTGGTATTGCTATGAGAAATCTCAACCATGGCTGTTATGAATAACAATAGTGCGTAAGGTGGTTCCTGTCTAAAGTTGGCTCTGTGCATCATTGGGAGCAATGGTAGGAGCTGTACTCTTTAGCCCAAATTTTCTGATTACCATCAGAACTGATTCGACCTGTTGGCAAATATTCTGGTCAGAATCTTGACCTGGCTTGATTGTGTCCATTAGAGAAAACCAGGGAGAAATCAATTAATTTCAGGAGCATGTTGCAGGTCAGACACTTTTTTTTAAAATGGCAATTGCTGGCATTACACAAGCATTAAATTGTTTTCAAGATCCCAAAGCCACCTTGACAGCGATAGAAGTTTGTCTGGTACTTGTTTGCCAGTTGAGTATGAAGGTACAGTGCCAGTTGGGTGGGGGTGTAGGGTGCAGGTGAGTAGGGTGTCAAATGGGTGAGGAACTAGTGTACACGATGCTGTAGGGGTTTGGTGGGTGATGGGAGTAGCTTACCAAGTAAATGGATGAGTACTCATTCGTAGTTTGTTTCGGTTAGGGCTGAATTGGTTTTGGGAGCTTTTGGGCCAGGCAGAGAAGGGTTGTAAGACTGGGTGGTTGGGGGGCATGGGGAAAGAGTTACATCAGTGATGGGTGGTGTTGAATCTGCAGAGGCTGGATTAAAGTGTGTCGGGGTAATGATGGTGTTGTGGGGGTGTCAAGGTTTCTGTTTAATAGTTGCTCAGAAGTTAGAGTGAATTTTTAATCCTTTAACTTTTCCTGGATCATCATGAAGTGTGAGTCAGAACTGTCTAAATTCTGTGACTTTGAGGGGCTTTCTCACAAGGTTACAGACACTAAGGAACTGTCTGTTGGAATTTTCAATGTTGGGCAATTCTTTTGGAGTCAGCTGCTTTAGGATTTTCATACAGTCTCAATGTGGAACTCCAGCCTCTGCTGCAGAAATGATTATCTGGAGATTGGAATTTCTGGGCTTTTGTACCATTATTGTTAAAGCTGACTGGCAATCCTTTGCTGACACTGGGGGCTGAAATTTTAACTTCATTAAAATGCATTCACTTGCACAGTTGCAATTGTGCCTCCAGATATTGAAATTCCTACTGCCTTTCTTTTATTAGAATCTTTTAGTGGCTGGAGTAAAAGGATCAGCCAAAATGTGTGCATACAAGTATTTGATTCAAGTAAATTCACGATTGATTCAAACGTGGAAATACCCAGAATAAGAACTGGAGAGAACCAGGAGTAAACCATTTGGCCTCTCAAGGCTGCTTTGCCTTTTTAACACCGCCATGTCTAATCTCTGCCTCACTTCCACTTTCCCACCTGCTTTCCATTTCACTTTTTTCACTGACAAGTTAAAAATCTATCCACTAAATATATTATCCATTAACTACCCATCAACTATATGCAATGTTAGAGCATCCACAGTCATCTGGAGTAGAGAATTTGAAAAATTTGCAATGTCCTGAGCAATGAAATTTCTCATCATCTGATTCCTAAATGATAGGTCCTAGACCCTAAAGTTTTATCCCCCTGTTCTCAATTCCACAGGCAACTGGAACAAATTCTTCTGCATGTCTTTGCTGCCAAGCTCATTTAGAACTTCACGTTTTCATTGAGACTGACTCTCATTTCTCTGAACACCAGAGAGTATACACCTTATTTATTTGGCCGTTCATCAGTGAAAATCATCTCACCCCAGGAACCAATCTAGTGAATGGATGCCTGCTAGCTCCCATTTATGCAACATTACTAATTAAAGCCTAGCATGGAATGAAATGTTTTCCAGTTATCTGGCTTTTGCTTTACAGAACATTAAATGTAGTTAATATTTCATTCTTTGCCTAAATACTTGTGCAAAGTAGTTTTGGTTAATGCTTTGAGGAAAAACATGTGTATGTTGAGTTAAGATTCTTTAATAAAAAAACCAACTCTGTGCCAAAATGTGCCCTTCTACACTGTATAGTCTTAGACATTTTTTGTGTCAATCTACTAGCTGAATACAATTTAGAAATACATGTCTATTTCTGATATTTGTGGATGTACTCTTAACACATTCAGGTTAAGTTTCTTGCCCTCTGTTGTAGATGACTAATTAACTGAACTATCCATATAGAATTCTTTTGAGGAGGTATCAAAAAGAACAGACAAGGGTATTGTTGCAGATGTCATCACCTGGATTTTCAAAAGGCCTTTGGTAGGGCTTTGACAGAGATTAGGATATGGGGACTCGGGCGACCATAGCTGAATGGATAGCAAATAACTGGATAACAGAGTTTGGGGCTAAGCGATAGTTATTCAGATTGAGATAAGATTAAAAAAGCAGTATTCTATCAGAATTGGTGCTGACACCAATTTTCAATTCACAGGTGATTCTAAACTTCAAGGGAGTATTTCAGTTGACACTAATGAAGAATGCAATCTATTACAAGAAGGCATTAGAAAACTTGTAGACTCAGCAATTCAATGCCAAACAATGTTCAAAGTAGATAAATATGAGGTGATGCAATTTGATGGGAAAATCAGCGTCCATACCTACACTTCAGAAAAATTAGAAACCAAATGTGGTAGAAGAGGCAAGGGGTCGAGGGATACAGGTGAACAAGCTATTAAAAGCAGTATCATTGATCAGAAAAGCATTGCCTCAAACATTCCCATGAACCAATGGCTAATCTCCTGTAATTTCTAGACAACAAAGAATTTACCTTTTGATTTCCTTTTATCATCTAAACTTCTAGGAATCCTGAAGTGATTGCAATATTCCTTGATTAAGGTCCATTTAAGTTTTTTAGCTACTGCTGTGAATTAAGAATATAGATCACCAGCTCAACATTGAGCTGATGGGACTTTTGACATGTGGGATGTGGGTGTCGCTGGCTAGCCAGCATTTATTGCCTATCCCTAGTTGCCCTTGAGAAGGTGGTGGTGAGCTGCTTTCTTGACTTCCTTTTGAATTCCAGCTTGACTAGGGCTCCATGATTCCGCACTCGGTTGAATGTGTCCTTGATGTCAAGGGCTATCACTCTCCGCTCACCTCTGGAATTCAACTCTCTTGTCCATGTTTGAAACAAGACTATAATGATGTCAGGAGCTGAGTGGCCCTGGAGGAACCCAACCAGGTGTCACTGAGCAGTTCATGGCTGAGTAGGTGCTGTTTGATAACACTGTTGATGACACGTTCCATCAATTTTCTAAATATGTGATATTCCATTTCTGATCCATAAGTATACATTTTTCCTTTCATTTCTCCTCCTTTCCTTTTTCAGTACTGGGTGAAGAATATGCCACAGAAAAGCCTATTCAAGACTGTTGTGCCTGTGGAACTGCAAAATATAGGTTAACATTCTATGGAAATTGGTCAGAGAAGACCCATCCAAAAGATTATCCAAGTAAGACATGTGCCTTTTGTATCAATAAGCCTTTTTTCTTATATTGAATATCATTTAAATCACAGTCTTTAATAGACTATGAACTAATCTTAAGGATTATACTTTAATCAATTTAAGAAGCATCCACCCACATTCAAATAAATCTAAAATATTTTACATTTACTGTGAGTGGAGGAAGCCAGCATAGAAGGAATTAAAATGAAACCTGACAGAAAACACAATTTTTGAACTAATGCTTTAGTCAGCTCTTGTAACTGTGTTACAAGGAAATAAGACAGGACTAAAATCTGACTTTTTGAGAGAAGTAATACATTGTGTATATAAAGCATAGACACCGGTCATTTAGCCCAACTGCTTTGTGCTGATAGCTAACCTCAACGTGAGCACCCTCCACTTTATTTCATCCTATCAGCATACCTTCTTCCCTCATGTAGATGCTTAGCTTCCATTTTAATACATTTATGATTATTTGCCTCAACTACTCCATGAGGTGGTAAATTCCATATTCTCATCACTGTCTGGATAAAGAAATGGCGTGCAGCTGCTGTTTATGGATCCTGTGGGTGTGTGGGTGATACCCTGGGAAAAGCCATGATAGTGATGTTCATAGGCACTCCCAGGTACCACAACTGCTGGCACCTTTAGTACAACTGTCTGGTTGTCCATTGGAGAAGAGGGCTAATTGTTAAAGAGGTAGATCATTGTCCCAATCAGCCATCTGCATTCTGAGATGGTAGGATGATCTATTGAGAGTCATGCTTTCACAAGGACCACTATTGAGTATATAATTGGTCTTCTGAAGCAAGTTTCTGATGCTTGGACAATTCTGCTAATGTCCGGTGGTATGTGCCAGATTGAAATCTCTCTGTCGCCGTTTGATGGACGCTGCACAACCTGACACTACAGAGGATGGAAGGACTGGCAGATTAAGATATATTGTCTTCAGATGGGGAATACAATGCTGTCTCACTTGAGTAGCATATGGACTAGACTGTATAATCAATCACTCATTAGGTGTCGATTAACTTTATTGGTTCGTTTATCTAAAGCAGTCAATCAAATTTTAAGTTATGAAGCAAACATTACAGCCACAAATTTATTTCTGCAACTAGGGCATCCTCCACTTCACTTCATCCCATCAGTATATCCTTCCATTCCTTCTTCCCTCATGTAGGTGCCTTGCTTCCATTTTAATACATTTTATGACCATTTGCCTTAACTGCTCCATGAGATGACAAATTCCACATTTTCATCACTCTGTGGGTAAAGAAGTGGTGTGCAGCTACTGCTTACAGATCCTGAGGGTGTGTGGGCGATTGTGTTCATAGGCACTCCTGGGTACAACAGCTGCTGCCCTTTTCAGTGCAACAGCCTGATTTGTCTATTGGAGAAGAGGGCTATTTGTTTCTGTATATTTATTGCAAACCCACAGTAGGCTAATTGCTGGCCAGAGTTTCAGCATTGGATACATGGAGTCCTTCAAGATGAACCGTCTTACAGTTGAGGTACATATAACATCCTATTCCTTTTAAAAGAAAGCTTAACTAGTTACAATAACAAGTGAGCCAGTGAGTCTTTGTAACATGTAAGTAATTTACTAATATATTCAGATCTTGCAATGGCAACTTTGCCTTGAGGTGCTATTATTGCCCACATTCAAACATATTACCTATTGTTCTTGTTTGTACTGTCAGGTTTTTCTTTTATAGAATGCCGATTGCTGTTCCAGAATTTACTAACCCTGATACACAACAGCCAGATTTTATTCCAGATTAATTACTAACTGATACTCCAAGTTGTTTCAAGTAGTTCAAATTGTCTTGGCATACACTGTTGTGATCCAACTCATTTTGAAGCTTCTGCTTTTGTACACTGAATTCTTCTATTAAAAATTTAAGCCTTCTGTTAGTCCAGTATATTTTCTCCTTCATAAAGATGTAATAGCTGTTTAGCCTCTTCAAGTTTCTTTTCCATTTTTGTTTTCTTTTAAATCTTGGACCTCTCCCTCATGCTGCTTCAATGGTTGCTTTGTTTTCTGTATATATTGGTTGAGTTCTTTCACTACAGCATCATTACTCACATTTATTTCTGAAAGGGCTGTTTCATGACCTCCAGCATTGCTTTCTGGTCAAGGTGATGTTTCTGTATTTGCTTCTGCTGAGCCTGAACTGTTTTACGCAAAAATTGCTTCAGATTTTCCTGTGAAGCAACAAACTTTTATTAGATTGATGATGCAGAGATTTTTGTCCTTCCAGCTTCATTTCTTTCTCTTCCAGTTCTCATTCATCTTTGCGAACTGAGCAGAACTACTCCCTAAAAACTACTTCCTAAAAACTGCTTCATCTCAAAGATAGTAATCTCAAGTTTGGATTTACCCTGAGTTAGTTGATGAGACCTTTATTCTCGAACTTTCATCTTTCTCTCCACAGCAGAGAAATGAAATTTTAGCTTTACTAATTCTGTAAAAACCATAGGACTTGGCAGTAAAAGTAGGCTGTTCAGCACATTGAGTCTGTTCTACAATTCAGTGAAATCATGGCTGATCTGAAAATTCTTAACTCCATTTTGCTTCCTTACTTGCATAACCCATGAATCCCTTACTGAATCAATCTATCTCCATGAAGTATTCCATCTTTTTTCCATTCTTAATTCCGTAAGTTTTTTTTTTTATTAGTCATCTGTAGCTTCCTTATGTCATTGGAGTTTGCCTGATTCCATGAATTGTGACTAGTCCAACACCATGGCTCGCTGATGTATCTGTAATTTCTGATCCAGAAGTATCTACAATATAGACCACTTGCAATGTCCAGGCAGATTGATTGATTATACTGGCATTGCAGCACTGTTGATCTTGCATGTGTAACTGGTGGACCATTGTATGCTGATAATTTTACATTCATTCATCAGCTTTGTCATGGCTCTCCATTATGTTGTATTCTTTAGAATTTGGAAGGCTAGCACATTGACACCTGTCCCTGTCCCAATTGTAGCCAAGAAAGAACGTTTTCTAAGAACAGATTTGGAAATTTTACAAATGCTTTGGATGGTGTGGTGACATTGAAGTTCTCCATAAGATTGACAGTGTGAAAATGTATTAGTCACTCATTGTTTCATGTACATAATCTGATTCTGGTTTTGTCAATCATTTCATGCATGTGCCTCTGATGGGATACCAGATGGTCTTTATTATTGCATTAAGGTCCTCGTTGTGTGTGATTTATAATGGTCAGCTCTTTGGAGGCGCATCAGACTTTTTCCAGTGCACTGCCTCTGCCAGACACCTTGCAAAATTATCTGAAGCAGGGCATTTCATTGCTTCATGCAGAAGGCCATGTCTTCCACGTGTCTTGTTATGTTGACTGTTCTAATGATCATGCCGACCATTGATCTGCTTATATCCACCCTTAAATAATTCTTCAACACTACAAGTTTTTGGTTTGTGTAGCAAATCTTTCTGGAAAGCATCCAAGGAGGTGGATGCGATCACCAACTCAGCAATTCTGCTTGTTGTTTTCACATCTGAAAATCTCGCATTGAGCCTTTTCCTTTGTCTCTACAAACAAAGTGATTTCTGGATTATGTAGGCTTCTGCCTAAATTACCATAAATTCTACAAATACATGAGTATGAAGAATTCAGATCTTTAATCTGAATCTGAATTGCTCTTCTAATCTGGTCAATATCTTTTGGGGATTTTTAGTTCTTTAGCTGTTAATCCTGACATGTTAAGTCTGTGTCAACTTTTGATCCCAACTCCTAAACAAGCTAAGATTTGCTTTTCTATATCAAACACACCTAAATCTGGAAACCAGAGCTCTGAATGTGTTCAAAAATTTTAAATTCCATGAGGAATTCTGTTGTGTCCTAATTAAAAGTAGAGAATTTTGTGGGCATTCTGACAATATGCCTTTTCACTTTTCTTTTGTTTGTTATTGGTTCAGCATATACCTTGATGACTTGCTTTTCTCAAGTGAATTAAACTGGCCTCTTAACAGGGATTTGTCTCCTTACCAGAAGCTGTCTTTTTAAAAACTCCCCATTGTTGTCATGAACAAAGACCATTGTGTGTTCTCACATGCACTATAGCATGATTTAAAACCGTTGACCAGGTGTTTTAACTTGCTTACTGACTGTTCAAGTGTAATAAGGATGGCTGTTGCAGCATGGTAGAGTCCCTACCTCTAAAGCCAAGAAACCTGGGTTCAAGTCCCACCTGCTCCAGAGGTGTGTAATAACATGGCTGAACAGATTGATTAAGAAATGTCTCAAGTGTAATAAGCCTCATCAGCATGTCATGGTTAGTTGCAATGATCTAATCCTCAATTGCTCATCAGGGATTAATTAACTCTGTGGGTTGATTTACTGAAACAGTAAATACATTATAAGTTACAAAACAGACATAACAACAGCCAACTAATTTCTGTCTGTGTGGTTTGCAGACCCACAGCCAACTAACTGCTAGCCAGAGTTGCAGCGTTAAATACATACAGCACATGGAGTCATTTAAAGATTAAGTTTCTTCTAAGGAAGGTACACTCATAACATGGAATTGCAAGCTGAAACACTTGAGGGTCAACAGATAATGGATGGCAGAGATGCCATCCCTGATGTGATGCTGATTCTTTTAAGATCTGGAGGCCTGTTTGCCTGTGTACTGCACAGCGTACACAGAGCATTCATGCAACACATTAGTTACTGCAAGCAGTAAGTGTCAGAAATATCAGAAGCCAGGAAGCAAATATAAAGTGAAATTAGATGAATTGCACAAATGTGATCTAAGTACAAAGCAAAAACCCAGGAGTAATTAGTTTCTGTTCTGTGCGTTGCTTAACATATTACCTTTTTATAAGCTGGATTATCATCCAAGTTTGAATGTTTACTTTCCATTATTTTCATAAAATATGAATTATGATGTTTTGTATCCAATACATGCACCACATTGCCGTAAAGCAGACTGGCAAGTGCAGCCTATTTGTCTTGCAAATGACAAAAATATGCCCA